GGAAATCCTGAGACTATCTGATCTACAGAATCTTCTTATAACATTTTCAATGAAATCTCAATACAAAGAGCAGAGAAAAGTGATACGTGGATTTCTCTACTGAATTAAATGTTCAATATTGGGCAGAAATTAGACTTTGTTCACAGACTGCTTTACTATGTCTATTGAGTCAAGGGGCTCACCGCAGCGGAAAATTAATCCCCAGGATTATTCTTGTATAAAAAGATTGTATATGCCAAGCCACCTTGCCCAAAGGTAGACTGTGATAGTGACAGGCCAGAGCTCTGCCTGTGTTCCTTACATACCACCACCAAAGAAGTCAATTTATTTGGCAGCTTTGTGATGAAGCAAAAGCATGACCATATTCTCTCTTTCTTGGATTCCAGTGAGACAATTCATAACCTTTGTATTTTTGTAGTATTAAAAAATAATAGATTGGACAAAAACATAGATCTGGAAAAGTTTATTATTAAGAATATTTGCTTTTCTCAAGACACCACCATTAAGTTCTCCTATAGACCAGTTCATCAATCATAATTGACATGAAATTTCAGTCTTCATTCTGTCTAGAGTTGAGAGACCTATTATGCAACAATATTGAAGCACGAGAGGCTTATTAAGTATGAAAATGGGCTGCATGGCTATAATTGTAAGGGCCAGAGTGACAAGTGAAGAGGAAAAGAGGAAAGGACATTGGCATCTCTTTGGATCAATGAATGCAAACCTTAAAAAAAATATCTTTGTTTTGGTAACATCCTATTTGTTTGTTCCCTTTGTTTGATTTCTTTCACCAAGTGTTTACAGAACAATGGTGCTATATTAGTACGAGGTATCACCTCAGAACAAACAGAATAATGCTTAGAGTGTGATTTACATTGTGAAGTCCACTTCCTTTCAGAGATACTATCTTGTAACCTGTACATTTAAGCTGGGAATAACCTTGCCCTAGTTACTCAATGTTTGAACTCTATGAATCAGTGGGAGTGGGATTTCATGCTTGGAATTCTTCAATACTGAAGAGCTCTTTCTTGCTACCTCGTTCTTTACCCTCAAGCACTGTATCACTAGCAAGTGTTAGTCGGTCATTTGTGCCCGACTCTTTGTGACCCCATGGACTCCTCTGTCCATGGGATTTCCCAGGCAAGAACACTGGAGTGGGTTGCCATTCCCTTCTCCAGGGGATCTTCCCACCCCAGGGATTGAACCTGGGTCTCCCATATTGCAGGCAGATTTTTAACCATCTAAGCCACTAGGGAAGCCCTATTGTATTACTGACTTACAGCAAAACTCAAGGGAGGGGCATTCTTGACAGATGGTTCAACCTACAGCAATCATTCAGGCCTTGGGCAAATAAGACTTGTACATCTACTATGTGTTAAGCACTCTTGGAGGTCTTGGGCACAGAGTGGCAAACAGGATAGACCAAGTCCCCTGCCCTCTGTGATGGCTTACATGCTCATATGGGAGACGGAAAATAAAAAATAAACAGGTAATAAATAGGATGATTTCCATGAGTCATAAGCATTATGAAGGGAATATAAAAACATAGATGCTGTGTACAACTAAGCATAGGAATTAGATACTATGATTGATCAGAAGGGGCTCTCCAAGGAGGGATCACTTAAACTCAGACCATGAGGAAGTCCTCCCAACAACCACTGTCCTCAGAGAAACCTCCTGGGATCTTGTAAGATCTCAAGTGAGAAAACCACACCGGTTCCTGCCCACTGGGCAAGACTCTTCTGAATGAATGGCCAGACTTCCTAAGGACTGATGTGCATACCAGTGAGGAAGGGCAGCGCAGCTGCTGGAGACAGAAGCCACTTGGTGATTTAGTCTTGGTGGTGGATCGTTCCTACTTTGAAGGTTCACCAGGACTAGCATAACTGCACCTTAATTCCAGGAGAAAGCACTGTTAGGTGGAGTGCCAGGTAACAGGCAGACAGCCGTGTGAACCGAATGGCCCAGGGCTCCCACGGTGGGAAGCTGTTTACTCTCTCCCCCGGAGGACACAGGGTTAGATGTAGTTACGTGTGTAATCATTATCAGCCTGGCCAACACGTTCTTAGTGACTTGCTTTCGTCATGTTTTCCCCTACAGTGGTTCAATGGCCTGTGAATGTTTGCTTTCAGAAGAAAAGAATTTTTTTATTTAAATAAATCATTTCATGGTCAAAGGAAGCTTTTGTTACTTTCAGAGTCTACTCCCCTCTCATTCATATTGCTCAACAAAACTGAACACTTCTTATGTGATGCAGCCACTGTGTAGCTCAGACAAAAACTGCTGGAAAAAAGTATAAGTATGTTTTAACCCTCCAGTGACACAATTGCTGGGAATGTGCATTATCATTGTCTTAAGAGCTGAACTTTCTCAGATCCTAAAATTACGACTATTTCCCCTCTGCAAAATCAATCCATCCTTAAAACAGACCACAGGAGGTGCACGGAACATAAAGACATGGCTTTTTTAAGGAACTGAAGGCTTAGCTGAAGAAACAGCTAAAAGACACAATAATAGGTAGCAACATAAGTGTACAAAATTAAGGTAGACTGTGAGATACAAACTACTCAGTAGAGGGTAAACAGGCCAGCAGAAGAGACACTTTATGGAAGATTTAGGACTTCAAGAATGGGGAGGATTTGGAGGGAAAAACAAACAACCAAGTATTTCAAGTGAAGGGAGTAGCAGGGAATACGTCCAGATCTGGGCATGCGCAGGAACATTCTGCCAGGACAGGGTGGGGATGTGAACAAATGCAGCTGTGGTTCATTTGGGGAGCTGTTGGGAAATGGTCACACTTACGTTGCACTGTGCCTACAATGGGCACAGCATGTTTTATTGGCTACAGATGCTTAATTGAGCAATTTTGTAAGACTTTGACTCCTATTGATTTTTCTGGCTCCTCTGTGGACATAAGCAAATTGTTGATGATCTGTAAATATTTGTTGTATTACTTGTAATTTGAACAGTATTTTGGTGACTCATAGGGTGTGGGGGTAAATTCAAATATAAAAAATTGCCACAAAACCTCCTTCCCCCACACAACCTTAAAGCAAGGTCACTGAGACATCACCACAAATAGAATACCATCTTAAGACTTACTAAGTTCTGTTCATCAATATCTCAGAGAAAATTGATTTTCCTTGCTAACTCCCTAAGAATTTTTGGTACATTTCTCAGAGAAGATAAGGTAGTCTCCTAAGTCACTTTATTTAATATCCTAGGCAGGTTAACAGTTTTTAAATTATACTTCATACTTTATACATACAAACATAAGCATTTTTGTACATATACACATGGAGTTTACCTGCAATCTTAAATCTCTGAATTTATCCTAGAAATTTCATCTCTCCTAATAGCTGTGTGTCACATTCACTCAACCCAAAGTTCCCCTTCAGAGATGGATTGATTCCTAGAAATACGTTTACAATATGAATGCATATATAAGCTTCTTTCTCTCTTCTGACTTGAGTCACTCACAACTGAGTGCCTTGGGTAATTCTAGAAACCTGCAAATCTGAATTAGTCCTGGGTATTCAAGAGAGCACAAGCAAGGCCCAGTCTCCTGGGTTCAAAAACTTCAGGTGAAAAAAACTGGAATTTCGTTTAAACCCTGATGAATGTGACTAGGACCTCTGGTGGCTAAATCTGTCCTTGCCTCACAGTCCAAGTCCACTGGAATCTCTGCAGGAGCCTTATCTCTTCAATTCCAACTAAAACAAGGGCTGTCTTGCAGTGTCTCTCCCCCTACTTCCTTCAGAAATACCCTTGATGTTAACAGTTATTCCTGTCAAACTCTAGGGCCTACAGAGAAATTCTGCTTTGTAACTAGGGAGACAGATTTCTCTGAAGTAATTTAAAACCATCAGAAAGACTATATACCTAGAAGTCATTTAAGGGAACCTTCCCAGAGTCTCATATCCCAGTTTTGATTGGAACTGCTCTTGACACATCTGAAGGAAATAATTAAATCTACAGAAAATACTTGTACATTTCATTGTGTAAAGCAGATCAGTCTGATTTATTAGCCTTTCGGATTCAGGGAATATTGAAACAATTTGGTTCTTGTTAAACATGAAAGTTCTTGTTAAACTCAGCACTACGTATTTGTCAGTATAGTCATAAAAGGTGCAGACCTTTTCTGTACTCTTTTTTATTTGCAGATTTCAGCTTCTTCATCTATAAAAGAGGGATAAAAATAATAATACTTAAGGCACAGGGCTATTATTGAGTTGACCAAATGTTTGCTTGGGTTTTTCTGTAACATCGAAAAATCTGAATGAACTTTTTGGCCAACCCAATATAATGTGTGTTGAGCTTTTATTAATGGTGTTTGTCATATAATCATTCAAAAAATAGGAGCTGCTACAATGATGATGATGATTCCTTAATTTCTACAGATTGCTATCCCCCACTTCTCTCAATATCCACACACATACTCTCAATTAACAAGGATAAACTATTAAATCTGAGCTTCCCTGGTGGCTCAGTGGTAAAGAATTCTGCCTGCCAATGCAGGAGACACAGGTTCAATCCCTGGGTCAGGAAGATCCCCTGGAGAAGGAAATGGCAACCCACTCCAGTATTCTTGCCTGGGAAATCCCATGGATAGAGGACTACCGTCCATGGGGTCACAAAAGAGTCAGATACAACTAAGCAACTAAAACAACAACAAACAATCTGGCCATAGAGAGAACAAGTCTCTTGACAGAATCTGTCGTTCAACAGGATATTTCCAGGCAGCTTGGTGGGGGGCAGAGATGCAGTGAGAGTTTATAGTCCCTTTCAGAGCCTGTGAGGGCTGGCAGGAAGTGAGTTCTTTGATTATGACTCCTACCCTTTGTCAGCAGTTTTCAAAAAGATCCTCGCTCAAGTAAATTTGTATTTTATTCTCTGAATGTAAAATGATGGACTGCAGGAGACAGAATTTAAATGACTCTGGGGTCTTTCAAGAACACCGAATAACTGGCAGGTCTCTCCCCTCTCCCTGCCCTCCACAGGTTAACCTCAGAGCCACAGACGGGAAGCTCATGCGCCAGCTGCTCCTCATCAATGAGAGCATCGAGTCCATCAAGTGGATGATTGAAGAGAAAGCCACCATCACCAGCCGAGGCAGCAGCCTGAGTGGCAGCCTGTGCAGCTTACTGGAGAGTCAGAGCACCTCCTTACATGGCAGCTACAACAGCCTCCATGAGGGCAGTGACGGGCTAGATGGCATCTCCGTGGGGAGCTACCTGGACACTTTGGCAGATGACGTCCCAGGCCACCAGACGCCCTCAGACTTGGACCAGTTCAGTGACAGTTCAGTCATAGGGGACTCGCACGCACTGTACAAGCGTCCCAAATTGGATTCCGAATACTACTGCTTTGGCTAATGCCCCAGTTTTTTGCATGGGATTGGTGTGCAATTAACTTGTATTTATCCTCCTTCTCCGCTGCTATATTTTTGGTGTGTGTGTGGTTTTTTGTTTTTTTTTTAGTACGACAACCTTTTAAAAGGAAGCTTATTTTGAATGGCTTGATGGTATTTCTGTTGCTCCTAGTATTTCTCATCTGGACTGATTTCTCTTTCTCTCTTAAGTCTCTCTATTTATTACGATGATTTTTCTCCCTTCTTTCACAGTGGCACAAATAAAGTAGGGGGAAAAGAATAAGCAATAATTATATCTTTGCTTTTGTTTTCAGAGCAAGGGGTCAGGGATTACAAGGTAAACTTCGCTAAATTTTACAATAAACCAAAGTCTGATAATAGCTGATTTTGTTGTCTGTGTTCTTAAATGATTCAAAGGTTTGTTTTCCAGAAGACACTGAGGTTTATTACTGTTTTTATATTAGGTTGGACAACATTCTTGGGACTAAGCTAGGTATTATTTTGAGGCCACAAGTTCCTAATGTGAAGTCAGTAATACCGTTAGCCACACAATTTTCATGACAACCATTAGGAAGCCCCAACTCTACGCAATGTATTCAGTTCAACTTTGTGTTCATATTGTAGATGACCATTTTGTCACCAGTGATTCTAACTCAAGCTGTAGACAAATTTGTGTAATTAAATATATGATTCTCCCAAATTTCAAAGAATAACTGAAGTTAAGAAGGTGATTAAAGGTTAAGGTGTCCTAGATTTATTGTATTCTGAGATTTTGTTGATGTTTACTATAAGCATTTTACAATTATAGGATATATAAAAACATAGATTCATACAATGGATGGATGATGGGTGGATGGAGTGGAAAGTAGAATCACTATTTACTTACAAAACCTAATAGATCCTTTCATTCTGAGAAGAAAAAATAATTTCTTTGTTTTCTGGAATGATGTCTGAAAATATCATTCATGTACTGAAACTTTCAATATGATATTAATCTTCTACATTTCTTTTACCTTGATGATTCCTTGTGAGTAAATCTAATTGAGATTTCAAACTGTTCTCTGTAATGATATATGTTTCTGCACTAAACACTTGACAGTGTGAACCAAAAACTCTACTTGTAACTGAAAAATGGCCATACTCCAGAAATATTTCCCCCAAATTTCCTTTGTTATTATACGTATTACACACGTCAAATCTATTAATTCCAAGTTATATATTATTCAATTTCCAATTAAGATCTACAGGGTCTATATTTCACACTGGTCCTTTTTTCATAAATTGTAGATAAAATCCTCATCAACAACAATCTCAGGATGTCAGGATTGTTTCCCTTCTGTGTTTGAAGAAAATGAAACAAAGAAGGTAGGTAACTGGGTCAAATCTCCCAGTAAATGTCAAAATTGGGATTTAAATTTGAGCCTGTATTATTCTAACAATAAAACTTGGTAATAAAACTTGGTACCTATGGAAGTTAAATAATAAAGTGGAGATGAGAAAGCAAACTTAACCTGTGACAAAAAGTGACCTATCATTTTTCTTCTAAATTAGTAGGACCTACATGCTCAAATCCTGAGGTTTTTTGAGTCCATTCCTGAAATCACAGTCAGTGTTGTGTTGATAGGTAAACCAGGGAGTTGGCCACGTGCCAGCTATTCCCTATCTTTTTACCGCTTTCTACTTGCTTTCATTTTAAACTTAGTAAAACCTAGCGGGTTGGCTATTTTGTTTGGTTTTAATGTGGAATTAAACCAAGCAATTTTTAGCACAGATTTTTTTTTTTAACCAGATTAAAATCCAAGAACACGCATTATGATCAAGTAGATAGAACTAAGACTAATGAATTTCAAACGGAGAGTAATGACATTTGTAACTATACGCCTACAGCACTGCAAGAACATGTTCAACAAGAGGGAAATGAGGAGCCAGCAAAACTGTAAGAGGCATCAAGGCTAAATTCTAACTTCTTCAAAACCTGAGATTTGTCTAGAATAAGCCAGGCACAGGAAAGGTGAACTCTGTCCTTGGATCACTGTTTCACTTGTAAATTCAATCTGACCAATTTCTTTAGCATGCTCCTTTTTCCAATCATCTTCTCCTGCTATCTGTCCATCTCAGGCCCTCTATAAATTTCCTCTCTATAGAAAGGAAATGAAAAATCCTGAATACAATATGAATGAAATGTGTAGAACAGTTTTCATTTATGCATCTTATTTTAAGGGGTCTATAATGAACACTGGCAGAAAACTTGAAAATGTTTTGGCTATATGTTTCATTTTATATACTTTTTATACACTTTTTATATACTATTTTATATACTTATTTATATACTATTTTATATACTTTACTGTAATTCCTATTTTTTGTAGAAGATACCAAATATAGAGTCTATGATTTAGACATATGGAATCTCATATAAGCCAACAATGTTTTGATAGTTGATTTTACTAAGACGAGGGGAATATGCAGCTAAACACTAATTATTGACATATTCATTGGTCTCAAGAGAATGGATGCATTTTCAAATAAATAATTCCCATAACCAATCTATGAGCTGAAACATTTGATACTTGATCTCTGTCAGCACCATGAGGAAATGGGGTAAAAAGTTAAAGTGCCTTCAAACTGTTCCACCCACATTGAGTTGTGTTCTCCCAGAAAAATGGAATTTTCCTCAGTTACAGTAGCCTCTACATTTTATGGATTTGTCTGTCTTATACTGGGAAGAAGACAATTGGAGGTAAGGAATTTAGGCAATTTAAAGCTAGTACATATTTGTTTTCCAAATAAGGAAACTCAAGAAGTCTTAATTAAAACTTACAAGTCTTAATTTCAAAGAAACTCCAGTATTTATACTATGTCGGCCCCAAACTGCGTACACAGCATCAATTAGTGCTAGGTATTTACCAACCATTAGAAATGCAATGTGGGCTTTCCTGATAGCTCAGTGGTAAAGAATCTGCCTTCCAAGGCAGGAGACTTGGGTTCGATGCCTGAGTTATGAAGATACCCTGAAGAAGGAAATGGCAACCCACTCAGTATTCTAGCCTAGAGAATTCCATGGACCAAGAAGCCTGGTGGGCTAGTGTCAATGGGGTCGCTAAAGAGTCAGACATGACTTAGCAACTGAACAACAAGAAATGCAATATGATTCTTTGTTGCTGAGTGAATTGTAAAGGTACTTGGGGCTCCACGATCAATGTTGTCAATGTGTATTCTTATTCCTGAGTCCATCAAAACACCATTGTCTCCATGATGCCAAAATGAATAGTTATTTTGAGGTTCTCATTTCATTGACATCTCAGCTATAAATGACACATCTGATCACTCCTTTCTTGAAAGACTGTCTTCATCTGACATCTAGAACACCCCTATCTCATGCATTCCCTCATTGCTGCTGCCTACTTATTGGAATACTCTGTTACTAGATTTTCTTCATTCTCCTGACCTCCACACACAAGACTGTCTTTTGGCTCAGTTCTGGCAATATTTATTTTCTGAAATTGTTTCCCTTGGCATTTCATGCAGTTTTATAGCTTTAAACGTCATCTACATGCTGAGATTCCTCCAAGTCTATCTCTAACCCCAGTCTCCCTTCTGAATTCCAGTCTCCCACATCCATCTGATCCCACAGCATCTCTACTTGACCTCTGATAAGCATCTCAGTCAAAACATAACCAACATGGAAATTGTGCTCTTGTTCTGTAATCTTCCCCAGTTCAGTAAATGCTGCCTCTAATTACCAAATGCTCAGCCCAGATTCTTGAAGTCATTTCTTAAAGTGCTCTCTTTCTCTCACACCACGTCTACCACGTGCAATCTGTCGTGTAAATCATAAAAGAACCACCTTAGAAGTATATCCAGAATGAGCTATAGATTTTTAAAAATTTTTACTGAGTACAGTTATTTTACAATGTTGAGTTAGTTTCCGTTGTACAGCAAAGTGAAGCAGCTGTATGTATACATATACCCCTTCATTTTAGGTAGAATTTCCAGGTGGCTCAGTGGTGAAGACCTGCCAAGCAGGAGACATGGGTTTGATCCCTGGGTCAGAAAGATCCCTTGGACAAGAAAAAGGCAACCCACTTCAGTATTCTTGCCTCAGAAATTATACTGAACTGAGGAGCCTGGCAGGCTACAGTCCATGCGGTAGCAAAGAGCTGGACATGATTTAGCATCTAAACAACTACAAATCCCTTTCTTTTTATGGATTTCCTTCCCATTTAGGTCATCACAGACCACTGAATAGAGTTCTCTGTGGTATAGAGTAGGTTCTCATTGGTTATCTATTTTATACATAGCAGTGTAAATATTGGAGAAGGCAATAGCAACCCACTCCAGTTCTCTTGCCTGGAAAATCCCATGGAAGGAGGAGCCTGGTAGGCTGCAGTCCATGGGGTCGCAACGAGTCAGACACCACTGAGAGACTTCACTTTCACTTTTCACTTTCATTCACTGGAGNCTGGGAAAGATTGAAGGTGGGAGGACAAGGGGATGACAGAGGATGAGATGGTTGGATGGCATTACTGACTCAATGTACACGAGTTCGAGTAAACTCTAGGAGTTGGTGATGGACAGGGAGGCCTGGTGTTCACCCTGGTGAACTGCAGTTCATGGGGTCACAAGGAGTTGGACATGACAGCGACTGAACTGAATTCCAATGCTATAATGTTTTTATACTTCATATCTGCATACAAGTCAGCTCTTTACCATAGACTACAAAGTCATATGCAGTCTTTCACTTTTGTAGTGTCTGAACTCACCCTATACCATTCTCCATCCTCTCTCATTGTAAGCCTTATTTACATCCTTACAATTCTTTAAAAATTTCAAAATCTACACCAGTTCCTACCTTAGAATCTTGTACTTCTTATATCCTCTTTCTGAAATGTTCATGTGCCAAAACGTTCATAAGTCTTGATTACCCAGTTCTTTCCAACTTCCAATCTAATGGCAAGGGATTTCTTACAAAGCACACTTAGAACATTTTGTTCTTACCCTGGTTTATTTTTCTTCATATTATCATCTGATACCTATTTTTTGTGTATATCTTGTGCTTTCTCACACTAGAATATAAGTTCTAGGAAAACAAGAACAATGTTTCATCTACTACACCCTCCATCAGTTAAAAATCTGTGTCTTATAATAGATACCAAATACATTTTTATTTTTACTGAAGCGATTATTAATTTGCTGAGTGCCTTCTAGGTAATAGGCAATGACTGATCTAGGGATTTGTGATGGAAAAAGGAAGGTACAAACCCTGATCTCAAGAAACTTTTGTGTAGTATGTTTTCATGGTTCAGCTCAGTTCAGTCGCTCAGTCGTGTCCGACTCTTTATGACCCCATGAACCGCAGCATGCCAGGCCTCCCTGTCCATCACC